GCGACCCTATCTAAAAAGAGAAGTTTTATGTACTGTAAACCCAACAGTAATGTGTATTAAAAAAATTAAGACAATATAGAAAAGGACAAAAAAGGAAAATCCCAAATTTTACTATTCAGAAGTAACCCAACCATTTTGATGAATAAACTTCTAAACGTCTCTCTGTATATTTGTGGGATATAAACACATGTTTTTTGTTTGTTGTATATAGGACCACATTTCTATTTTTTTCAGTTGGCAATGTTTATCTTTTCTATGTCAGTACATAAAGATATGTGTTTTATAATTTTATTTTATTTATTTTTTTGAGGCAGAGTCTTGCTTTGTTGCCCAGGCTAGAGTGAGTGCCATGGCATCAGCCTAGCTCACAGCAACCTCAAACTCCTGGGCTCAAGCAATCCTACTGCCTCAGCCTCCCGAGTAGCTGGGACTACAGACCTGCGCCACCATGCCTGGCTAATATTTTCTATATATATTAGTTAGCCAATTAATTTCTTTCTATTTATAGTCGAGATGGGGTCTTGCTTTTGCTGAGGCTAGTTTCGAACTCCTGACCTCGAGCAGTCCGCCCGCCTCTCCCAGAGTGCTAGGATTACAAGCGTGAGCCACTGCGCCCAGCCGTGTTTTATAATTTTAAATGGCTGTATAATATTCCATTTTATATACGTACCCTTTTTAAATCCATATTTAGAATGTTGTACATTTAGGTTGTGTTCATTTTTTTTTCTCACTTAAACACTCTCTGTTAACCCTTTTTTGTGGAAATTTTTGCATGCATTTGTGAATGTCTCCTTGAGGTAAATTCCCAGAAGTAGGATTCCTGGGTTGAAGATATTTATAAGATATAGATCTTATACTACCTTCCAGAAGAGTTGCATCAATTTTTTACTCTCCTCAAGTAGTGTATAAGTATGCCCTTTTTTCTCATACATTTCAAAGCATTGGATTTTGTCCATTTAAAAAGTATTTGCAAAAAAAAAATATCAGTCTTTACATTTTTTGGTTACCAGAGAGGTTATACATCTTTTCATATATTTATTGGCTTGACAAATATTTTGGTGCATTATCTGTAGCTCATGGTTGACAGCTCAGACAGAGAAAAATTTGAGGGAGGATGGACGCAAAATCTCGGAATTGTTTGCTTCAACATAAAGCAGCTCTGGAAAAGGACATCAAGACACCATACATCATGGATCACATGGTTGGTGATGGAGTTTTAACAACATTGGAGGAAGAAGAAGTAAGAAATGAGGTAAAGCCCTCTGAGGCAGTCTTGTAGAATTTTTAGAATTTTAGAACTTGCATTGGTCTCTACTCATGTATGTCACAAACATATTCATTATTGTATACTAAACTACTTGTTGTTTTTTTTTTTAGTCTACTCAACAGAAAAGAGCAGCTTTGCTAATTAAAATGATACTTAAAAAAGATAATTATTGCTACATATCATTCTATAATGCTCTACTCCATGAAGGATATAAAGATCTTGCTGCCCTTCTCCAAGATGGAATTCCTGTTGTCTCTTCTTCCAGTGACAAAGATTCAGTTGGTAGAATAACTACATATGGTTTGTATCCATGATACCTTCTATTGCATTGCTATCACAATGATGACAATGCTGCAGATTTGTCTTACTGTAGATATAATCTTCTGAAGATAGTATGATCAGTTCTCTGAAAAATGCATGTGAAAAATTGTAATGGTTTCAATTTAAATATTAATATTTCTTATTTGCATCCATATTAACTTCACATTTTCGTCTTGCCCAGTGAACTGTTTATTGCTAAGATAATATGTGTACCCTAATTTTTGGAGATAATGAGGTCCTTAGATATGTTTGCTGTGTGTTTATAGAGTTTGTGGGAAAGAATAAGAATTTATAGAAATCTATGTTCTTGAAAGGAATTCCATATTCTTCCTTTTATACTCTCCTTCCTAGTCTTCAATATGAGAGAAAGACTGGAGAGTCAAAGAGTGATAGGATGAGTAAGAGCAGGTGTAGATGGAGACTTCCATTGTTGATAGACATCTTCAAGAGTATGTGTTTACTTTTGCTTTCAATGTTCTGAGAAATCAGAAAGTTGAAGTTAATACACTAGCCAGATTTCTTACTTTTTTTTGGAAATTCTGAGGCTAAGCCTCAGCCATACCCTCTTTGGTTTTTTTTTTTTTTTTTTTTTTTTTTTTGTTAGTTTTTATCTCACGGAGGGATTGTTTATTCAGGCTTAGTCTGAATTTCAGTAAGGACAATTTTATGTGAAGGTGGAGTACCACAGAGGCCGGTCGTTTTTGTTACTAGAAAGAAACTGGTGAATACAATTCAGCA